TAGTTTAGAGTCCATGGTATGTATGATAATTTCCAGTGTAGTATCGCGGGCGTGGTACCTTCCCAGACGTTTAGTCGGCATCGTCAGTGAGCCTTGCCATCCTTAGCACCACATTACAACTCGTCAAAGAGGCAAGTGAAGTCGATCCCTCGACCGATTGTCTGTTAAACTGTGGCATCTCTCCTTCTGCCCTGGTCTATCCACAAATCCTATATCCCATTAATTATCATAATTTCTTAACTTATTCTTCAGCAGCAAGCTACCACTGATCAATGAGACGAATGGAGTTACTCCTTTGACCAACCTTCTGTCGAAATTGTTGTTTTATCACTACTCTTCCTACCCAAAAGTGTACTGAGTAGATATATGAGTTAGGACAAATGGAGGAGCAATAGCAGCACCGTTTCGATTAAAAGTTGGTCAAGTGATTTATTTCACTTTTATCTTTTTGATGTGTTGTAGCTTGCTGCTGAAGGTGGCAAAACTCATTGACGATTTTGACTACGATGCCGGTGACATATCTGGGAATTTACCAAGTGAACAGTCCGACTTTTTTCTCTTATTGTTCACTTTTAGAGATCTTCTGCGCTCTGTGAAGATAGTATGGGAGGCCTGGACGATTTGGAGGATGATGAAGACGACCTGGAAGATGGGGATGCCGAGGACACTACTGATGTTCAGGCGGATGATGGTACATAATTACGCTTCTTTTGACTTGGCTTTAGCTTTCATGACTTACTCCTGTTTAGAGGCCCTCGAAACGGTTATAGAGTCCTGTGTACACTTGGGCACACATTCATACGATTCCCTCTCGCCTCTTTATTCAAGCATATATTTATTTAAGCAGCTAACACTATTACTTATATAGTTATACAAATTATGCAATTTAAATATGTTTTTCCTTTATATTGGCAAAGCCTTGATTTGCATTAAATGTTTTTGCCTTTATATTAGTTTATAGTTTTTTAGGAACTTTATGTGCCCATTATTTAGATTTGTTGAAATAATATCGGAATTTATCAGCTTTCATTCTTTCTTTATCCTATTTCTCACAGTGGAATTATCGAATTTATTATCATTCTTACCATATTGATTGAATCACACTATTTTGCCCAATTTTTTTTTCTAACTAACGCCTTTATAGATGATAGTATAAGCCGAAGCTCTTTGAGCAGTAAAATTCGACGTGCTGGAGATGAGCTTTCCCGAAAGTCAAGTAAGTCTTCAGTTGCACGATCTTCTATCTCTACTGGAGCAGGCGGAACCGGTAGTCTGGTTGGGTGTGTCAGAGCTGGCTCAGGATCCGTAGCACGCGGTCTTGTTGGACGAACTCCGGCCGATTCTGGTTGCAGTCTCGCTTCTATTCCTAACCAAACCTCGATCAGCACTTGCCCCTTATCTACAGGTAACTCTAGCAGGCGACCGCCTCGTTCGGCTAGTCGTCGAGTGCTGATGGTAGAAACTAGTGAAGAGGAGGACGACGAAGAGGAGGGGGATGAAGATGACGATGATAGCAGGATGCAGCCCCGTGTGCATGTAACAGTTAGGGTACGACCGGTTCCCGCCAGACAGGGCGAAAATGAAGGAGAGGATGAGGAGGATGAAGAGGATGAGGCCGGTGATGAGGAAGACGAAGAGATGGCGGAAGAAGCGGCAGATATCAACGGGACCCGTGCTCTTGGAATGGAGGAAGATGAGGACGAGGATGATGTCGAAGACGTAGAAAGTGTTTCTACGAGACGGGTGGCTCCGGAAGTTTGATCTATTCCATTTCAGTTTTTTGCAGTCTTTTTACACTTAACGGCTCACCCACATATTCTGCTGTCACCTATCACTCCTAAAAATTATCTTCTTTATATTGCATTTATTTTGTCTGTCCTCTTCAGATGCTTTGCATTCATCCTTTCGACGTTTATATTCTTTACCTCTACACACAGAGGACTTTGGTATATTTTGTTTTTTCTACTCTTTTCTGGAACGTACCTTACTGTATAAACATGATGAGGTTGTTTTCCGATATAATCAAATATTTGTATACAATTACTTAATTTTTTAAACATATTAATTGTAATATACATCGCTGCAGGAATCTGTTCCTTTTAGTGATATCCTTATAAATGAAACGGCTCGGTGCGTTAGTGAGTAGATCGAACTTTTTTATGGGCCATTGGATCCGAGGGTATCTATTATCTATCTACTACACAAAATAAGTTTAAGATCCTAAGCCCCACCTACTTCTTTCTATCCCTGCTCAATTGACCTAAATTCAATACAACACTGATTGAATCTTATATAATATTGATTCATATCTTAAAATCACATCTTTTTAAGGCTTGCATAATTTCATCTTTGATATTCCATTCTGGCTCCATCTATTCTAATGTCACTCCTGATCGCACTGCAGATCATCGTTTTTCATTTAAGTTTATATCACTTCATCTCTATCTTTTAGGCTTAAGAGAGAGAGAGAGAGATTGTTTGACAAAAAGTACTTACAAAAGGAAGCTGAAATAGCCTTTAATCCATCTGGAGCTATCACACTTCTCATGATTCTAACTTTGGCTACATACACAAACATACGTCTCTTGTTTCTTTATTTAAGGAAACAGCTGCGACCACATAAACTTCATTTTCACGTACTGATTTTATCCACTTGCAAACAGGGCAACCATGAAGTATCCAGCCAAATTCTAAGAGGCTCTATTAAAATCGCAAAATTATGTATCCTTATGCAGATCACCTATTCTTTTGGTTTACTATGCTGGTGCACTTCTTTAGAAAGTATGGTTTCTTCGCACAATCCAACCGCCTTCAATCTAAGGCAATGGTTCTTCGATTTCCGATATGACTATTTCGCAAATTCCTTTTAACCAATTTTTCTTTCAAAGTGAAGAGTCAAGTTTCACTAAATCACTTAGGGATTCTTCTAAATTCAGTTTTTCCCTACATATCCGAAGATATTAAAAACCACTTAGTAAAAAATGTAGTCGCCCCAGGTCGCAAAAGG